CAAGTGTGGCTAATATAAATAGACAGATTAGATTAAGGACAACTGAAGATACAAAGATTAGATATTGACACACAATGTATTTATACTGGCTCGTATATGATACAAGTAGTTAGGTACAATTATAGAAATTTTCTTATCGTTCCGATAAGAAAATAATGTTCTATTTCCTCAATAAGTGATTTTATTTCATTTCACTGATAAAGACAATCTTGAAATGATTTTGTCTTGTGCTTCCTACGATCAACAGTATCATCTAGATATCTATAACCTATGCGAGCTAAGAGTAGATTTTACAGTGAAAAACAGCTATTTCCATTCTGACAAGATTTATATTGACTACTATAATAAAACAAAAAGAAACTAATTGATTAATTTAATTTAATTCACAAAGTAAAACTAATAAAATACATCACTGGATAACGAAATGTTTCATAGACGTTCGTCGAATGAAAATAGCAACAAGAGTATAAACCTCACTTATTGCAACATGTAATATTAAAATTAGTTCAGATCCGGTGAAGATGTCGTATTTCCATTTAAAAAAAATTGAGATATTCTCTTATTTGAAGTAACTAAAACTAGTAAAGTAGTAGCCTATTATTTATTCTGGTGACCCAAGAGCTGGTAGCTACTTTGCCCAAAAGATAAGTTTGGCAATCCAAAGAGGTAATGCTGCCAGTATCTTGGGTACGCTGCCTCGATGTGGTGCGTTGGGGGATTACTTATAATTAGTATTATTATAGTATTTAAGGAATTTTATATTAACTTTATTTTACTATTGTATTGTTTTTATATAATAAGAGCTATTTTTAATAAACTTTTTAAATTATTACACAATAAAACTAGTAAAAAAGTTTAATGATTCTATTTTAAACTATAAAATTAGTTAACCATTTAGAAAATGAGATCTTATTTGGACGGCGTTGACCGAACATCTAGTTTTTGTTTTAAATCGATAACTTCTTTATCTTGTTTCACACGAAGAATCGTGTGAATTCGATTCCAGACAACAGTATTGTCAATTTTAAATTTATCTATCTTTCGGTGGAATAAGATAACTTATAGACTCACCAACTTCTCCATGATTTGATTAAATAGTGCACTCTGTGTGATTATTCATATTTAAGTGTTACATTAGATATATCAGCATTATCGAAACGAGAGGAATTAATTAATTTGCATATATAATATATTTAGAAAGATGTTCAGTTTTTAATTAATCTGACCTATTATGGTTTCGATTAAATCAATATTAATGCAAATAAACATATTGACTGTTTGATCGAAGAGCATTCTATTTTTCTATTACACAAGTCTTTATTTCATCTTTATTTGAATTGAGATCATATTATCTTAATATATAAAAATCCCGTGTCACGATGTTCATTCATTCATGTCATTCATATTAATCTTCAAAATTCCTCAATCGATTTAATGATTCAATAGTTGTGTATCTACAAGAACATTTCCAAAAGTCATCTATGTTGTTTGTTAACTTTTTATTTATTTATTTATTTATATATGTATGTGTACAAAGAGTACTTGATGCTAAAACATTCTCTCCCACTCAAACTTAGAGAAGTGGGGGGAAGGGATTGTTAGTAATGCAGACTACCAGTTCCATTGCTAACAATATACCCTTGTCAGGTTTTTTTCCTCCTGGAAACCATCGTGCTGAATTCCAAGTGTATTTATCACGATGGGCTAACTGACTTGCCCTTTCATTTTCACTTCATCAACCCGTGAGGGTGATGCCCTAGCCTAGGTAGTGCCCTGCCAGTGTATACCGATAACACAAGCGGAGTTAGCATTCCATTATCATTCATAAAAAAAAAACTCTAATGCGCTTCTAGTGATAATTGATATACATACATCTCGAGGTAAGGCGAAAGTGTAATTTGATGATGCACTATTATCGGTTGCTCAACGGCGGAATATACAATCCTGCAACTCTTAGCCGTTGTTCTTTGTACGCACCCCAACGCCGCATGCGATTGCGTGCTTGTCGACTACTATCGGCACCGCCGGTTCGCACCTGTACTGCTCAGTTTGCTCCCACTTATCAGGCTATTTCTCTGCTCAATTCTCTAATTGCTCAGCAACCAGATATTGATACATTTAATGACAAAATAGATATATTTTTAAAATGTTGTTCAAAATTTGTAAGTTTGTAAAATAAACCTATGGCTCACTACACGTTTTGGAATACTGTAAGTGTGGTGAGTAATTTATAATAAATATATATATATATACATACTAAAATTTACATATATGAACAAATAAATATATATAAATAACAAATATACTTATACATATAGAATATATACTGTATTATACACGAAGATGAGAATAGTAGACAATACTATGCTTTTTTCCATATGATGAGTAATAAAGCACTGGTCTGACCAGTTGATCGAGTTTGGATGAGTTTACAACTGGCACTTAAAGTGTTAAATCGTCTTTTAAGTAATCTTTCTTTACCAAATTTTATATTACTTTACACGTTTGTTTAGTCTTTGTACATACTTGTACAAGCAAAACAGAGGATCAAAAACAACAATAGTAACTTAGAATTGGGTGACAATAGGTGATTTGCATATCTAATTATCCTATTTATGATGACGTAAGAATAAATATATACATGTAAATAATAACTGTCCATTGCTGAACATAGGCCTCCCCTTTTTACCAGTCGTTGCCAGACTTGGCAGGCGGATTAACAGTCGCGGTTAGGCTTTGGTGTGATTAAGTTAGGCTGCTGTCCATTCTTCGATCTTTAAGTTCCCTTAGTCGTCTTTAATGGCACCCGCAGGAAAAGAAGGGCAAGGCCATCTATGCAATATGCAATATTTTTTATTGTTAAACTTGATGCACACTATTCACACGGTTCTTTCACGATCCGAACTTGGTCTGATGAACTATTATCATGTTAGAAAGAATGGGTTCGAATCTGAGTCTCTGTTTCTTTAAACCAATCTAAAATTAATGTCAAAATTTTTTAAATTTCAAATTTATGATAATCCATAAATCAGAAATTTTCCGAAACTATCAAATTAAAATATTAAGTTAAGCCATAAGTTAAGGGATGTGACATCCCATATTAATAAAAATGTCAAACCTCTGATGAAACTATTTTACCTATTGAGCTGTTTTGTCTATTTCTTTTATGTTAAATTCTCAACTTAAAAAGTGACGCAATAATGTGAAAATATCTTTTAGATTTTATGAATAAGGGTTTACAAGCAATATCAAACTATTTTTTTTTTGACAACGCAGGAGGCAAACGAGCATGCGGCTCACCTGATGGTAAGTGACTTGATAATATATTACTAAACGGAGAACGACTTGTAATCGATATTATAGTGAAACCTAGCTTAACTAACTTAAATCTTGGACAAATAACAAATATTTGGTCAATGCAGAAAATGTCTCTTTATGTAAGCCGTATACTTGCATAACATATGTGTGTTGTAACAAGTAAATTTTCTCATTTATTACATTAATAGAAGATAGAATATGTTACGTAACTACAAATCAGTAGACAGTAACTGTAGATAAATATGAATAAAACAAACTAGATTATAAAAGTATAATAAAAGATCGGCAATATAATAAAGTGATACAATAACAAAACCATTAGCAGAGGTCGCCAGTTCGGGGGCCGACCACATACTCTTTTTTTGTTGCAGTATCCGGCCGTAGTACCTTCCTAATGCTCCTCAAATATTGCGTCTAAATTGCGTCCACCATGTACCCTCTTGTATAGGCATTCCGTCACCCGTATCCAATAGCGAGGACGGGATGACTTAAATATTGTACCGCAAACCAAAAAAAAAAATTACATAAACCACTTACATGAACAATAGATGCTGTATCACTGTACTTTAATACCATATTTGTTAGAGTCGTACTTATTGAAAGCACGTCTGCACTATGGAGAAATCAAGACGTTAGTGATTTGGAATCTCCACCGTTCTAAGATATTGATAACTTTGATAAAATTATATATTTGTTAAATGATATTCATGTTTGTGTACCTCGTAGATGCGAGCTACATAAAAGGCAAATAAAATAAAATAAATAAAGGCAGATTATACTGTAATACAAACTAAAGTGTTATAAAATTTATAAAACCAAATATACAATAGTACCTACCAGTCGTCGTGTGTGAATGACAGGTAAGAATATAAATAAAATAAATAACGTTAGATTAATTTATAGTACAAACTAAAAACTACCTAAATAAAATTGTATTTAAAAACTTCTAAACATTTTAGTATATCGTACATTATAGTATAATGCAAGGCCATAGCTAGGGGCGGGGGGAGAGGGCATTAAGGGGCTATGTCCTACCTTAAAAGCCCTAATACCCTACCTTAAAATGAAAGGTCTTTTCATAGACACTTAATTATGGCTTCTGCCGTACCAAAAAGTTCTTTTGCTCTATCTTAAACTTGGGTCTAGTTACGGTATTTGTTGAAGGTAACCTTATTGGCCCATAGATCAGTGTTAAAGTACACAAATTATGAAAGTTTATTAAAGAAACGAGTCTTCCAAATACCGTTGTCAATGATACAAACAGCTTTTGCTAAACATTTTAGCCCAGCCCCTTTTATTTGGTTTCGTTTTTGAGTTAATTCGTAACAAACAAAAAATCAATCATCTTTTCTGGTTATAGATAATATTAATTTACATTGATACACTGTCTAAACTTTCGAAACACCCCGAAAACTCGAATTTTTAAAGATCATTTATTATTTTGGCTACTATTGCTCTTATTGAGACGTCTCATATCAAATTTTCTTAATATAATTGTAAAATAGAAATAACATTTTTTTTTGTTCAATTTAATCAATTAAATCAAATTAATTATAGAGCAACCCAGATGTTCGTAACACTTTGTATATTTGTACTATCTTCGAAACACTCTTCATAAGTCTTTTAGCAATTCCTGTCTAACTGCCAGTTTTTTTTTTTTTTTTAATTATGAGAATACTTACCGCTAATAGTAAAAATTGGGCTGCCGGTGACGTGTGGAGACTGATCCTCGACTTTATCAGATGGTTTGACAACATCCGGGGCTCCAACCATGCCTGTACAAACAAATATGTAACTTATTACTCATGTCACAAAGTCGCATATTCATTAGCTTTATGTGATTAGAATTTATATGAGTCAAACACAGGGTGTAAAGTAAATATAATAGAAGCATGTAAATTATTATTTATTTTTGTAACTATCTTAAAAACTCGACTTTATCTCAAAACATGATTCGAAATTTAAAAACTTTTTCTTAATATTTTATTTAAAACCAGTATTGCTCGTAACTTTGTTCGCATGTCAGGGATAAAAAGTATCCTATATTCCTTTCCATTCCAAGTATTATTCGTATGCCAATTTGGGATTGGTAATATATAGCAATATCTATATATTGGCTCAATAAAAAATATTTTAAATATCTATATATACTCGTATATCAAATTTAGGAAATCTTGATTGTTTTATCTTGATTAAATAGGAAACGAGCGTCATTATACGTCCGTTTCAATATTATCATTGGATTAATTGATCATTATCGATTATAATTAGAGGGTAATGATCTAGGTAATTGTTGATAATTATACAGAGTGTACCAAAAAGAGTATTGTTTTGATAATCAGCGATAGTACTTAGGAAATTAATTATTTATTTATCAATTGAATAACTTTTCCCAATGGATATAAAAAAATAAAATAAAAACAATATTTGAATCTGTAGATAGACTCACGCTCTTGTCACATCCGCTCATGATTAAGAATCATGAATTGATCCCGAAACTAGTCGAGCTTTTTCAATCTAATTACACTTAAGTTAAAACAGTATTTATTACATAAAAATATAATGTGTGCTTCAGAAACTTAACAATAAAATCTGTATTCAGTATAAATATGTAATATGGCCATCTTTTGAAAGCTATCAATTGTTTTAACATCGACGGATCGAATCGACATCGCTAGCAAGTCCGTGAAATATTAAAGCATGAGATAGCAACGTCGGATGTCTCATTCCAACTCATGGACTCGCTTTCCATAAAGATTCCATCGATGGATTCGCTTGCCACTTGTCTAGGGGGTCAGATTGCAAAAGGAGTCAAAATTAAAATTTATACAGAATTTGTACTTGCATAACATACAGATATTAATGATCTAAACAAAATACATATAGGTTGAAAACTACCTAATATTGCACATCTGGATAAAACGAAAAGTAATAAATTAAAAATTTTCTTTGATCATTTTCAAGGAACTTGCATAGAAACATGAGTATAACTTTTGAACGCGCATTTTATATTTTTATGATTTTTTTGCATAACAACCTGTATATGTAATTCATAATGGATCTGATAAAAGCAAAAATTTGTGTTCGAAAAAAAATAATAATAAAATGTATGTATTATAATTATTATTTTTATCTATAAACGTTTATCCATTAATTTTATCTCACGATTGTAAAATTTGTGAATGTTTTCATCATTATCATTCCAGCCGTTTATTGTATACGGTTATATTTAGGTATAATTAATTTATCAATCATAAAAACTTAAGGGAGGCTTTGGCCTCACCAGAGGGAGACTTTGTACAAAAGTCGGGTGGCAGTCGTGTTTACATGGCTGTGTTTCGGTTTGAAGGGTGGGATGTGGCGTGAATTTACTGGGTACAGAGGAATAACACCTAAGTCCTCAGAATGGCAACGCATGAGGGGGTATCATGGGCGAAACAGTATACACTGTTATGTCCATGGTACTGCTCATGTCTATAGGCGACGGTTACCACTTTCCATCAGGTGAGCCGTCAGCTTGTTTGCCATTCTAAGTTGTATAAAATAAAACTTAAGGGGGAAAGGGATTATTAGTAATTGGTAGTAGCTTCAGTCATAACTATATATCCTGTGTTAGTGGTTCTCCTTGGAAATCATCGTAGTTAATTCTAGTTGAATTCGTCACGATGGGACAACTGGTCTACTTTTATCCTCTCCTATAATCCCTCACTGGTGCCCCGCCAGCGTATACCGATAGCGTAGCGGGGCTTACCATTCCATGTCACTCATAAAAAAAAAAGTTTTGTTTGAGATAAAAGAATAGTAAAAAAAAAAAACTTATGGTTTTTAAAAATATATGAATATATTTTTGGATGTTTGTTGATAAAAAGTTTGAATATAATTGTATGAACTTTGGTACCTACCTAACATATTATATCCTAGATTAACAGATATCTTTTATCGTAGGCAAAACCGGTTATAGCTTGTTATTTATAGTTTGTATGAAATATTAAAAGCACTAGCTGACAACATTAAGATTTTGATATTTTTATTTTTATGATAGCAACATTTTTTATATTTCTTCTTGCAATGAACGCGGATTATAGCTAAACCACATCTCCGTGATTTCTTCAAATTCAAAATTTTTACAGTCTACAATTGTTGTATATAATAATATACAAACTTGGGGGGAAGGGATTGTTAGTAATGCGGTTAGTAATATCATTCCCATTGCTAGCAATATATAATATACCCTGTCAGGTCGACCTCCACGCGGTTCCCCCTAGAAACCATCGTGGTTAATTCTAGTGAAATTCTTCACGATGGGCTAACTGACCTACTTTCATTGTCACCTATCATCCCTCACTAGTGCCTCGCCAGCGTATACCGATAGCGCAGGCGGGGTTACATTCTATTACCCATTACATATACATACCCATTAAAAAAAATATACAAACTGATGGCTGTAAAGTTAAGTAATAAAGTTAGGGTATAACTTACTCGTGTACCAAATTTGATTTAAATCCGTCCAGTAGTTTTTGCGTCATCGACGACCTTCCATTCGTCCACTTTTCTATATTTACAGACTTTCGCGTGTATAATATTTATATGATGTATGAAAACAAAAACACTTGTACCTACTCGTCCAACAATTGCCAATGTTAATTAATTTAAACGACTTGAAACAACAAAACAAGTTACCGGCACACCTGATGTGTTGATCGCCTACTGACATAATAACACCCTGGACACCGCTAAATATGCCGATGGTGCGGGGAAAAAGGATTGTTAGCAATGGAGTTTGACAGCCCCATTGCTAGCAATATTAGGTCGATTCCCCCTGGAAACCATCGTGAACAATTCTTGTTGAATTCGTCACGATGGGCTAACTGGCCTGCTTCATCCTCACCTATCATCCTTCACTGATGCCCCGCCGGTGTATACCGATAGCGCGGGTGGGGCACTATTCCATTATCACCCATTAAAAAAAAATACACCCATGGCACGGGAAAAGAGATTGTTAGTAATGGGGATTAGCGAATTCATTGCTAGCAATACACCTATTAGATTGACCTCCATGCGATTCCCCTTTGAAACCATGACAATTAAATTTTATAAATACGATGTCACGATGGCCCAACTGGCCTTTTTCATCTCCACCTGTCATCCCTCACTGAGCGCTAGTATATCAATAGCGCAGGCGCGGTTACCATTTCATTCTCACTTATTAAAAAACATACATCCATCCTACGTTTCCATTCTAATGGACTAAAGGGGCATGCGTCCTTTCCAGTAAAATATCACTACCATATTTCATCCTTCAAACTGAAAAACAGCCACAAAAGCACTCGTTCCACTGCCAAACTACTTATTGGCGGGGGCAAAGGGATTGCTAGTAATGGAGACTGAGAATCCCATTGCTAGCAATATACCCAACCAGGTCGACCTCCTCGCGGTTCCCCCTGGAAACTATCATGGTTAATTCCTCATGAATTCATCATGATGGGCTAACTGGCCTGTTTTCATTCTCATCTATCACCCTTCACTGGTGCTCCGCCAGCGTATCCCGTTAGCGCAGGCGGGGTTACCATACCATTTTCACCCATCAAAAAAAAACTGCTTGTTGGCAAAACGAGTGGGACAGAAGTACCCAAACAGACAATATTGCGAAATATCATTCTGGTATTAACATATTTTAGATAAATTTCTAATTATTATATTATCACATGATACTATTACATTATTGAAGTACAGGTAATAATACAATAATTTTTTTATTTATTTAATACATAATTGATATTAATTGATAATCATATTTACCATATGTATACGTTGTTATATTATAAATAGTTATGCAAAAAAAAAATTTTGAATTGTACATTATGATTTTAACCCTAAAATTGGTTCGGTCGCTTACTGTATTGTCCATTTGTTTATAATGAATTTAGCTTGAAAACAACACTTCTTTTCCCATGGGTGTCGTAAGAGGCGACTAAGGAAATTTAATAGTCGAGGTATGGGCAGCAGCGTCCCTTTTAAAATATCACCAAAGGTTAATTGTGGATGCCAACTCATTCGCCAAGCGTGGTAACTACTGACAATACCCCCCCCCTCTATGGGAAAGACCTATCATCAGCAGTGGACAGTAACGGCTGATATATAATTTTATTTCTGATTTACATAAAGGTAATACTAATATTTGGGGGGGAAAAATTGTTAGTAATCGGAGGTTAGTCCCCATTGCTATCAATATGCCCTTATCAGGCCGACCTCCACGCGGTTCTCCCTGAAAGAATGTTTCATTTATGGCCCAAAAAATATATAATAAACTTCCTTCAGATCTTTTAGACTTTCCCTTGAAAATATTTAAGAAACGGCTTCATCTATGGCTTCTGGATAAGGTCTTTTACAGTATGGGAGAATATTATGCCTACACATCCCAAAAATAGTTAACATAATTATTAATAATATAAATCCTTAAGACTTGACATAAATTTGCTATTGACATACATTTGGAATGTAATTTGTATTTAATTAATAATAATAATGTAAATGTTAATTTTATTTGACGATATTGAATATGTAATTTGACTTGATAATTGTTTGAGCATTGTTTTCTTTTTTTTCTTTTTTTTTATTATTCTATGATCATAATAATGTATTAGTATAAATTAAATTTGTATCCTTATTTAAGGAATAAATTAGATTTGCATGCCTACAATTTTAAGGCAATTAGACAGATGCCAAAAAGTTGTGTCACATGGCCCTTATAATGTCAAATGTCTGTTTAAAGCAA